ATTAGTTTTGTGAAATATAAATTTTAGAGGGAAAGTCTACCCTGAGGCCATTGTGTCACGTGAAGAGTGGAGAGTAATATAAGATTTTTTGTCTTAATACTTGAAAATATATATTTTTTAATTACATACGAGTAGAAATAACCCATCTAAGATTCAAGTACATATTTTTGTATATACTGAATGACATTGAAGAGAATGGAGGGGGAAGTTTTTTTTCCTTTTGTTTAACAGATAAATTGCAAATCAGCAGTTCCTGTGTGATTAAAAGCGCCAGGTATTAGAATCTTACCCCTGGCTCCCCTGTTACAGTGGCTGACGAGGGGGCACGTAGACAATAGACGCCAACTCCATCCACAGAGTTGTATCATAGAGCCTTCTTGCTGAACTCACAAGATTATATATGTGCATGAACTCCTGAGCTCCATAAACTCCTGAATACACAGCCACTAAACATCAGACAACAACACCAAGCCAACAGGGTGTGGAACACCATCGAAGTGTTAGAAGACCCGGTGCTAGAAAACTTACTCCAAGATGAGACGCTTATCTTGAGCATCTCGTCTTGGAGTATATACAAAAAAAAAAAATGCGCCGCGCTCACAGGATGAGTATGGGGTGCACATTAAAGTAGCCGCTTCCGACGGTAACATTAAAATCAAGCAACAGTTTCACTAGGTGCAACACAGCGAATCCTAGCCCGTGTTCTTAAGGTTTCTCAACGTCAAGAAACTGTCGTACTAAAGTGCCATTATCCTCACCTGCCAGAGGACCCAAAACAGAAAACGGGACAGTATGTCAATTCCGCGAGCCGCTATCAGTTTCTATGATGACGATTTTTAGCCTTAGGTAGAGTATACGTCAAAATGCGCCGCTCTAATTGGAGGACGGGTTACGACCACCATCTGGCTTGGCCCCCATCACCGCTACCAGCAAGCCCTTGTCTTTTTGTTTACACTTAGACGTAAGAGCGTCCAAATTTATACCCTTACGTGCCTTGGGCCACGCCTGGGCTCATGTTTACTCGGACGTACTCTGGTCCAAGTTTAATTTAGTTCATTTATTATGCACCACATACCCATCCTGTGAGTGGTAGTGGAAAGGGTTACAAAGGCACATAATGGGCTCAGAACGCGAACCCTAAAATTCGTTTAGCTAAGCAAGTTACAGCACTAATGGTTTAGTTACATAATTTGTTAACATAATAAATCAACAGTGTCTTCAAAGTTTAACAAACATCACTGTGACCTCGAGTACCCCCAGAACACAAGGAGTGACAGTTTCTTGGTTGAGCCAATTGCAGACAATTTTATTTTGCCTATCATGCACCCCCCACACCCATCCAGTGGGAGACGATGTCCACCCTTATACACTACCTACATTTATACAAACGGGATAATTGACTAAACTTTATGGTAGTAGAGCATTTTGAATTAAATACATATTTCTTGAACATTTGTGATAGCTCTTTCTAAATTCTTGAATTTTGACACGAGGGTGTGCGAAAATTTTTGCTGCCACAGTTTACATTTGGTCCAGTCTACCTCGATTATATTGAACAGGAATAATATATAGGACTGCCCACGTATAGGCCAAGAGGTCTTCTGCATTTTCCTTGATTCTTATGTTACATTCATTTGTATGTAGTGTTTCTCTAGCCTTGTCCATGGATGAGAGAAAAAAATTCTGGTTAGCATTGTAAATGTATCACCACATTAGTGGTAGGAAATAAACTAAAGGGTGGGGAGGGATCCACATAAATCGTATTTTACAGCCAATTGTTCTTTAGTTGCAACAACTCTGTTGTAACATTGCTAGCTTTAAGGGATCAGGTGTGACACTGTTAGCTTTAAGGGGTCAGTTGTAACATTGCTAACTTTTAAGGGGCAAGGTGTAACACTGGTAGCTTTAAGGGGTCAGGTGTAACATTGTTAAATTTAAAGTTCTCTACACTCGTCCAAAATGTGCTGATATACTGGTCTCCTACTATTTAATGAGTCCAATGCCTTTGTAAATGCACATTAATGACACTATGTAAAAGACACATCGAACACTTTATGTAGCATACATAAATCTGTGTATCTATGTATTTACGTATGTAGCTTAGCCTAGCATTTTAAAATCACTACAGTCACCTTTTGTGGTTGATTGGTCAATAAATCCCTGAACTGTATGTTTGAGAAATCTCTCACCCTGTCCATGGAAGACAGAAGAAAATATATATATATGCTGGTTAGCGTTGTAAATGTGTGGCCACGTCTGTGGTAGAAAATAATAATAATAAAAAAGGTGCTCTTCTACTATCAATATGAAACACATGCACTATTACTACTCTTAATTACTTCCTTTAAACCCACTAATACAGCCTGAAGTTGAGCCTGCGTTCCAGAGACATTGTCAGTTAGGCGATGACCAATAACAACCCGGTGAGAAGTAGGAGTCATGAAGAGGAGGATTCGAACCTATGCTCTGGGTACTCCCGAGACCATTACACAGGTTCGAATCCTCCTACCGATTTTCTCATTGATAGATCATGTTAATATGATTTCTTTGTGCAGTTTGTACGGTGCCGATGTTAGTGTATTTCCTGATCAATACTCCACATCCTGCCTTTCCGTCAATAGCTATTGAGCCATCACAATAAACATGTAGAATTTTTTATTTATATATATTTTTCTAATTATACAATCATATATTGCCCTTAACTGTCCTGGCTCGTACATACTCCTTTTCTTTTGCAGAGGAACAATCTCCACGCTTGCGTTACATTATTTCCATGGTAGTGTTAATAGGTTTCTTAGGTAATTAATTACTGTACATTCTTGCAAGGCAATATATTTTATGTCATTAGAATATAAAGTTGTCATATATCCTCTCATGTTATACCTTAAAATACATTGTTCATATCTTCGTACATTTTGTACTGAATGGATTAATTCATTAGCACTCACGCCTCTCATTAGTTCAATCACCGAGGCTTCATTTATCTCAGAAACTCTATCCCAATACCGTGTAAATTCAATTACCATTGTCACAGCATTTCTTGGGCATCCTAAAATTATTCGTATAACTAATCGTATTTTGACGTAGGTACAAAAATTATTTGTACCTACGTCATATTTACTCCCTCCTACCAAAATAAGAAATGACAAGTGCAGCATAATCGACAAGAGATCTTGCAGTACTTATGTATATCATTCTTTCATAATAACATAATAAACTGCATAAGGCCTATAGAATTTGTACGTTTATTCGGCCTATAGAATTGATACTCTTACGTGGCAGCTCCTATAGTTATTTATTTATTTATAAGAATGTACATTGGGTTTATGAGAGTATATAACACTGATTTTGTTTTTTTGCAGGGATATTCCTGCGCGGGCCCAAAGCCTCTGACTGGCCCACTAAGTATTAAAAAGACCTGGAGATGCGGGGTATCGATCCCCGTACCTCTCACATGCTAAGCGAGCGCTCTACCATCTGAGCTACATCCCCGTAGGTCTGGAGGTGCCGGGGATCGAACCCGGGGCCTTTCACATGCAAAGCGAACGCTCTACCACTGAGCTACACCCCCTGGAGGGAGTGTGACAGGGCTTGCGTGGACAGTTTGGGACGGTCTGTGATAAACCGTCACAGACCGAACACAGCCTGTGACAGATTGCATTGACGATTTTACAGTCTTATAAAGCCACCAGCACGCCAGCACGCATAGCGTTTCGGGCAGGATTTTGATCTATATCTATTTTATGTTATGTTACGTCTATATTACCCGGTGATCAGTTCCACAAATCGACAACCTTGTTTTCAAACCATTCCCAGATCTTTCCGAAATATAAACATATATAATTTATATCCATTGTTTCGTTTTATATTTTGTGTTGGTATATTTAATACCTTTTTATATTCTTGTGCTAGTGCATTATATAGTATGACGACCAAAACTGAATTGCATGATCCAAGTAGGGCCTAACAAGAGCCAAATATAGGTGAAGAACAACATAGAGTCTTTTTACTGCTAACGGTTCTAGCACTTATTTCGAACATTTATGCATTGATTATTTGGCTTTAAATTCCTACTAATCATGACCTCCTCTCGAAGTCTGATTTGCAATTAGACATCGCAGTTTGAACACCATCCAGATCTCTCATCATTACCTACCCTCAGAACTCTACATTAGCAGTCTTTAGGAAACTACATTTGCCAATCTTTGACCTTTTCACAAGCCTAACTAGATCGTCTTCAAGTGATTTTAAGTCTTCTGAATTTATTTGCTAATCCCGCAGTTTCCTTAATTCATATGTTCTCTGAAAACTCCCCAAGTGGCTTTCTTTTCTCTTGAGTAAATTGGTTACATGAAATATGGAGTTCATATGTGATTTAATTAAGTGAATGTGGACATACTCGTAATGAGTGGCGCTGCCCAATAAACTCGCCCCTCGGGGCAAAAACTAAAAAAAAAATTAAAACAATAATGGTATAGAGAGCTACGGTACTGGACGGTTCATGGAGTTCTTGTTACCAAGGAAGTCATGCCAGCGTCGCCTGCCGCAGTGGGAAGTGTCTTGGGAGATGCCAAGGATGGAGTTATTGCCGAGAACTGCAGTAGAAATGGAAAGCGTTCCAAAGCGATTTCCGTTTGCTCACTTGCGCCGAGGACACGTCCTAAAGTTTTAAATTTGCTGGAATCACTAATCAGTAATTAGAGTATGAAATCCGTGGTCTTCGACAGCTTATCATGCAGCCGGATCGAAATTAATGTCTTGGAGTATTATGTAAGCGTAAACAATGAATACATTTATATAATGCAACATGTCAGGCTACTTTTTTTGCAACATGAAGTCGTTTAGCCAATGTCAAACTGGTTGGGTGCCAACGTTGAGTAAGCCAGACATAAGTATTTGTTTAGCTTTTAAAATACTTCTCCGTCTCCCCGTCAGGGAGCATTTAAAATAGGCAAGAAATCATGGTATTTGTATTTATTGTGCATTTTACCCATTTTCAGCCAATGTATAACGAGATCTGAGAAGAGCTAGGTGAATAAGAAGAGCGGAGACAGTTGCCAGCTGATTCATTAGAGGCCGCAACGCAGATGGGTACGTGTGAGCGAGGCACCACACGTGTGTTCATTACACCTCCCTCCTCGCTGGCTCAGTCAACCGCCAGCTCTCAAAGTGAGAGGACGTCTCTCCTTCTCACACCTCCCCATAACACAACTCTTGCTTGTGTTAAGCAGAGACTTTATCCTCTGCAGTTCTCCATCACCTTTGAAGTCGCATAAAACGCCAAGGAAAGATATATACTTTGCCGCATAGAAAATTGTTGCGGCAAATGTGCGCTCTCTAGCACAGTCGAAAATTGAAATAGAACTTTCAAATGAATAACATTTGTGTTGGTTAATTACCCCAACTGGTATCGAGGTCCACACGGACTCGAACCTCGGAACATACAATAAGTTAAGTTGCTGTTGGTTCGATTGAAATCACTCGGTCGCCAGCAACAGGTTACTGATCAAATACTGTGCATCGAACCCAACAACTGTGTCTACAAGAAGAAGTCTTCCGTCTTCATCATGGAGGTAAGACTTTTGTTTGTTGAACATTTTTCTTAAGTGTCTGGTGTTGCTTATTGTGTGATTTGTGTTGTGTTCAAGTAGCTAGTGATTAAAGTGAAATTCAATGACTTATGAGATCAAAGTAAGTTTACTTTTAGTTAATCTTATCAAAGATTAAACAATTATTTTGGATTTAAGTACTTCAGGTGTAGATTAAAGTGAATGGTTTGGGGTTTCAGTATTATTAAAGGAATACTGATAATGTGTTGTCATTCACACGGATATATACAAAGGAAGCTGTTTACATCTAAGTGTATATACACTGAATGTAGTCTTAGACATTATTGGCATTTTCAGTACTAAAATATACTTGCTGGTTGCCCAGTAGGGGCATGTTCTAAGATGTTCATAATAACCCTCCAGAGGGTTATCGTCGTTAAGCCCAACACCAAATTAAGTCATTCGGTGGGCGGGACAAAGAATATAAGGAGCCTTAGGATGGGTTTGAAATTGAAATAAGTTTATTGAGGTAAAATACACACAAAGGGATGAAGTAGCTCAAGCTATTTTCACCCCGTTCAGTACAACGTGTTCATATATACATATATATATGTAGACACATCATGAGCAATAAACATTACCGAACATTCTGAGAGATAAATATATACATTTGTTCCTCTACACAAGTAGTATGTTACCAGACGTACACACAATACTGAGGATGGGTTTACCTTGGGTGCTGGGGTGATCACGTGCTCAGCAGCTGATTTCCACCAGGGACGCGTGCCGGCCATGCCAACACCGCCGGTAAACGGACAGTATTAAGTATTAAATGTAATGCGTTAAGCCTAGGCCGTGTAAATCGTGAATAATTAATCTCTGGAGTCGTGGGAGGGGGGTGGGGGGATTATGAGCCTTTCTTACAAAATGGTTTTTGTATGGTAATGATCATCTGGGTTCATAATTCTTTACATCGAGTGATAAGCCAAATCAATTGTATTATTTTGTAGAACTTGGTAGTTAATTACTGGTTGTATTTTGTAGGATCCCCCATCCTGCACACACACAACGTAACTGGCCCTGTTTTCTGCTTGTTACAACTTATATTAAAATACATCTTGTAATTATGTTTTTATTATGTATTAGAACGCTGTTTCAGCTTGTTATATTGGTTGTTATAACTTGTTAGGTGTTAAAAACTTGTTCGTACGTTGTAGCAACGTCGTAGTTTCGTCGTATTTAGCAGGCACGAACCTGGTCTATATCTTTTGATTTATTTGATGAAGATTAAGCCACCCAAGTGGTGGCACGGGCATGAATAGCCCGTAACTATATATTTGTTCTCCCTGCTCAGATATACTATACTCCAGCTTTTGTATGATACTTTAAGCTTCTGAATACAGTGTATAAAATGTGTTAAGAATCGGTGTTTGTCTCAGAAGAGGGAAAATATATTAACAAAGACGGGAAGGATGGCCGTGGGTGCGGCTCACACTGAACATGTGAACAGTGTGTGATCGTGGCCGGCATCCGGAGGGTGCTCAAGGCTTCCTCCGGCCAACAACACCACCAACCGCTCCGGCGGTGTTAGCTACCCACAGCTGCTCTGGCCTTAGGCCCTCTTTAAGATGTCGGACGTGCCATGTAGTTCAATTTTTTGTTGACCTTGGGATGAATTAGGATATTTGATGTATAAAATCTCCTTCTGAAGATGTATTAATATACGAAAGTACTTAAGAAAATTCCTGTTTCAATTCTTTCTCAGTGGTCTGACACTGTCACATTTTTAATCACGTGTTTATTTTTCGTGATTTACACACACTTGATGTATAAAGTATAACAGAAAACAAAATCCTAATGTTTTAAATGTGTCCTGTTGTAGTTGGTGACGCAATTACTGTAAATATTTATGTATGTAAGCTGAATCCTGTTTTTTTTGTTCCTTTGCTACCTGGTGGGTTTTGATACACGCACGTGCTTTCGAAACTCTTGTCGCCCTGCTTATCTTTGTCAGTGACGATACCAGTATACAGTACTTCCTTAAATACCAAAGGAAGTGACGTTCTGGCCAAGAGATAACAAAAATGATTCAGCAAATGTCAACTCGTTTGATTATGTGATTTTTTCTTTAGTAAACCAAAAAAAGTGCCATGTTCGCAATTGACTCATCACAATAGATTGGATTTTAGTTTTAAGCCAATATTTTGGCGTGTCCAGCTTTGCAATGATAAGATAATAAGAACTAGTGTTTTACATGAATAGCCTTCTCTGCGTCTGTGATTGACGCATTTAACTTCAATTTACAGTATTTGAGTCAGAGGGGACAAGCAGTGCCAACTTGTCTTTCTATTAATTTCACTGCTGTAAAGAACGTTTTTGAAGCAGTTAGTTGTGAAAAGATTAAAATATTATATATCCCAAACTTATGCAAAGCCTTAGCTACTGTCCTTTGCGAATAACTGATCAGAAAGGGAGAAGCACATAAGTATTGGACAAGATGTCTTACATTGTATTTGGATACGGTTATTTAAGGGGAAAACAAGGGCTGCATAAATAGCCAAGTGTGAGTGAGAAAATGATGCAAGTTGAGTGTCCCGTTGAAGTTTATATGGAATCCCATGGCTTATATAAACAATTTTGGCTGAGAGGGATCAACAGCAATATTGGCAATTTTATGATAACCATAGCCTTTTAAATTTGACAAAATATTAGCAGATGCAGTTTAATGCTGACAATATGTAAGGGTCTGACGTTGAAATTACCAATATGAATGCGAAAGGATCCGAGTCATAATTGGAAGGGGGAAGGGATCGTGGGCCAAGAAATCAATATATAATTATTTGAAATAAGGTAAGCAAGGTACTGGGATTCATATCTAGAAATATTAGCGTGCTATTCTTCCTCTTCCCCCCTTATTAGGTCTCATTAAGAGTATGCATTTCAGATTTACTTCGTTGGAGTGAAACAGTTTACCTATAATTTAGAAGCCTTGTGGCTTTTTATTTTTCAGTTAAGATTATAATTTTCTTTAATAATCCCAAATATTTATATTAACATATCTTCGAAGAATATGATGTTAAAGATTAGATCAAGTGAATTAATTTAAACTTGTTTTATGGGATACATGTCAAAGTCTTGGTACTAACCATGTTCGTCACTGATCCCACCTTACTTTCCTTGAGGTCATCAGCCACTATATATCTTACGTCTCTATATTCATTTACTTTCATTAACTCTGATGTTCATCCAGTGGCTTGCTTTTTTCAGTTTTGTAATATTACATAGAGTTGGGGGCCATCATTCGTACAGTATACTAACGTAGTGATTCTCTGACGTTATTCTGCTGTTTTATAGCTGCTTTGCTACAACTATTGCCTAATGGCTTCAGTTTGCACCTTCAATTGCCATATATATATATATATATATATATATATATTATATTATATATATATTATATTATATATATTATATATAATATAATGTATGTAAAGGGGCCTCAGTGTGTAATATTCATATAAACTATATTGTTAGTCCCACAGCGGCTGCTTAATTATTTGACCTGGCATAACATTCCATGGCTGGCCTCGGATTCCCAATGACCATACGAAGGCTTGCCGCAGTGTGAAAGGGCTGTTGACTACTGTCGCAATGTAAACGACCCCTCATGTCATGTGAAAACTCGTGTCAGCTGTATAATGCATGTCACCCTGTATAAGGACTAGCATATTCCAGTGACAACCGTGTGTAGTGGATATGTGAGCCTGTGGGCCGCTCCATGTAACTGCCTGTTGGACCAAGCTCTCGGTTTGGGGAGTAGAACTTCCGGAACCCATCAAAGTACAAACAGCTTAAATTCCTTACATAAACCAGTAAATATACATACGAAGCAATAGTCTTACTTATTAAGGCTGAAATGTGTACAATTCTAAATAAGCTACTCTTATTTATACAGTTTGTTCTGAACGTAGAAATTCATATGCATTTTTCTTACGGAAGGGATGCTGTATTAAGGAAACAAGCTTTGTAAGTCTTGCATTTATTTGGGAACAGGCTTTTTGGCTAAATTTATACTATTAGCCACGGAACTTACATGTGCCCTGAGCACTCTGAATGACGCCATGGGTTCACCTGGTAAAGGGACCTTGGGTGGGGGACGCAGTGTTCACGTGTACAGGTTGTGGGGAGGGAAAAGCGCAGTTTCATCACGTAGGCAACCCAGCCAACTGGCGTGTCTTCTTGGTTATACTTTCTCCGCGGACTCTGGGTTTATCTTCCGCCATCAAGTATTGAATTTAAAGCTGTAGTTATATCTTGGTGTTGATGTATTGATTGGATAATAAATTACGTGCCGTTTTCAGAACGTTAGCACTCGGATTTAACTTAAGAACATTTGATAATCGTTGGAACTCCAGCAAGTATATTTAGTCGTATTTATTAACAAAAAAACAGTATTTATGTTGATTTTAATTACTGTAATTTACCTAAAGCACTGGATATTTGACACTCAGTCCCAGCTGCGTCTGCGTGCAAGTGACAGGATGAACAACTCTGCGAGCTTTCTTTCTACTAAAAAAAAAATCTTCCTACTGTTGTACATGCTGTTATGGAAGTATGTTCACTCACAGGATGAGTGACGCTGCCTAATAAATTCGTCTTCGGGGCAAAATTAAAATAATAAATTACCCAGAAAGCATCGCTGTTTAAAATAATACATAGGTCTTTAAGAAACACTGCAGAATTATATTGTTCCGTTCACACCTTCTCCCTCTCCTCCTCCCTTGGACACACACACACACACACACACACACACACACACACACACACACACACACATATATATATATATATATATATATATATATATATATATATATATATAAATATATATATATATATATATATATATATATATATATATATATAAATACATATTTATTATATATATAAAATATGTATATAATACTGTATAAATATATACACATAAACCCTCTGCCCACGCTTAATAAATGGCAAAAGATGAAAGG